TTTTTCTATGCACAATAAAGTTTACTCATTTTTTGTTTTTACTAATATATATCAAAAATCACCACTAGCACTTTCGCCAATAGTACCATCGTGAAAACGTGGCTTGATTTGTTATAAAATAGTATTACTGCTACACTACTTACACTGAAGTACGTTCACTGCTATTTCATCACTGGTACTCTTGCCGATCGTACCGTCGTGAAAACGTGTTGTTGCATAACATGTATAAGTTCCACTGTGTTCTTCACTAATTAGATGTAATGATATAAAGTATATGTAAAGTCATTCTCTACTTCCGCCACGACATTGTCATTGCCATTGTCATCTGTGTGGTTTATATACATTTCATAAGGACGAGGGATCGCATCAGTTAGTTACACAGAGTAAAACAACGTCACTTCCATATACATTAGTTGAACCAACAAAAGAAATATTGGCCAAGATCTAATTGGGAATAAAACGGTGCAAAACAAAACAGTTGTAAACATTACTAGTACATATGTTGCACTTTACACGATTATCAATGAATGTAAATAAAGTCTAATTTTATTTTTAAAAATACATTACTTACACTGTACTCAATATGCATAGAATCACTGTCTGACGCAGTTGATCCATCCCAAAATACAGTTTCCGCAAAACACGTGTATGTACCACTGTCAGTTCGTGTTATGTTATTAATTTCCAGAGTTGGTCCAAGGGAAAGAGAACCATCTGGCTGTACCCATTTTCCTTCCACCACGGGATTTGAATCTACCACACACACACTTATGTGTGCATCTCCTTCAATTAAAATTACATCAGTTCTGTTTAATATAGTGACAGTTGGAGGATCTAAAAATAACAAAATATTATCAATTATATTTATATGTCATTAATCTTTGTCACTTGTTTTAATGGCTGTGGAGTAAATTTAAAAAAAAAAACGGATATTGTTCAGCAGTATTGGCGATCCGCTCCGCTAGGATTGTCCTTATAATCTCTTTTGTCGTTGTGTGTGTGTGCGTGTGTGTGTGTGTGTGATTTCCAGATTTCATCTGTGTTTTTTTTGGCTTGGCCGATTTTTTCTCAAACTTGGCAGGTAGGTCACACCTTCATCCTAGTTATTAGGACAAATCTGAAAAAAATGTTTGGCCCACCGTTGTCATAGCAACAGCCAACAAACTGATCTTTTTTCATTACCGAGAAATTTGACTCCAAAGTTGGGGTAACTTTTCACCAGCAACTGCTTTTAACTCCTCTGTGATTTTTTCGGCTCGGCCGATTTTGTTCATACTTCACAGATAGGTCGTACCGTCACTAAGTGGAATAATTCCTGGCCAACCACTGCCATTGCCACATACAAAAACAGATTTTTGATTACTTTCGCCCCAAATGTATTACCTCAAATGATCATGCTTTTTTATTTTGGCACTGGTAAGAGATCACCGGCGCCGACATTGTTACACTGTATCAACGTAATCCCAACGCAACTTTGAACTTTGAATGAACTGTAAATGCTGCCTTCATTCTGGAAAATACTATCGTGAACCAGTTGAAAATAATAAATGTAACAATAGAATACGTCCTAGTAATAAACTAAGTGACTTCTAAAGACTTAATGGTTTTTGCGAACTTCGTATACGGGCCCATTTAGTTATAAACCGACATTAGCTTCACGTTTATGTCACACCTTGAAAACAGCCAAAAACATGCTGCTTGTTTTTGAGCGGAGCGGATCGCCAACCAGCCTACCGGCGTGTAATCACTTTTGTTACTCATTGCTGTATAAACATATATAAAAATTAACCATAAATTGCATTTTCAAAGATATTCAATTTTGAGAATGCTAAAATTTACTTTATAATACATTTGAATTCGCTCACATTCTACGTTAATGTACATTGTGTTAACACCGACTCCTTCAGAATCGTCCCAAAATGTGTTTCTTGCATGACATGTGTAATTTCCAGAGTTATTCCTGGACAGCGACTCCACACAAATGCGCTCTTCAGTACTGATGATGTACTTATTTGGGCTTATCCATACAAATGTGTGTAC